TTAATATAACCAGAAACTGACTGTTGCTGATCACTGCAGACCATGTGTCATCTTCAAGTTAATTTTTTTCTGAAGTTCTCACCTTCTGAGCAATGTTGCAAGTCCAATAGATTTTTCTCACAATACCATTTCAGAGAGACAACCATTGCATTCAGTGTGCACTTTTGTCCAGGCTTTTGTCGTCTTATGATTCAATTATTTCAACATCCTTCTTTCTGACCTTTACAAATTTGATATTCTTTTACTCTCATCTAGCTTCAGCTCTGGCTTCAAAGTTAATTTCCTACCTCATCACCTACCTATATTATTCTCCATCACATTCCTCTACTAAACTCTCCCTTTCCAATTGAATCAGGACATTTAGCTACTCACTCCTGGTTTTTAGCACCTCTCCATACTTTATACCTTATACTCAATCAGTACCTGAATGCAGCTTACACCACTATCTAGATGTTCAAGTGCTGTTATGTTTTCTCATCATTTGATAAAATATGAAATAACCTTGCATAGAACTAGATATTTCTTGGCTTTTGCGGGTTTAGCTCAATAATGTGCTTAAGGAAACAAATTAACTGTGAATTTTCTCTTTTAGTCTAATAATATGTAGGTTCATAGACCTATGTTAGAATAAAGTGTTAAAGTGCCTTTTTTCCCCCATCTTTGATCACAGAGGAAGTAGAGAGTGATATCTCTACATGTGACATTATGTGGTTATTAGTGATATCTGAAAGTTGTCAGAAAGTTGTCAAAAGATGAGTCTCATCCTAAAGGAATATATTTTTTTACTATATGTAGAAAAGTTGTATTGAAATAACTGCAAACATATTTCAAAACCACTTAACCATTACCAAATTTGATGCAAAAATATCATAATGAATCCTTTTTTCTTCTACCCTCCTCCCCCAAACTTAGGATTTGCCTTAAGCAAACAGACCTCCATCCTTCCTCTTAGGTAACTGTCCTGTCCAAATCCTTTCCAGTCCAAGAAGTACATTGCAAGCAATGGTGTCAGCTTTTACGTTAGAGTTAAGTGTTCATCATGGAGCCTCGTTCACCATAAAAGCAAGCTTTTGAACCCAAATTACATCCTGGTTTTGCAGACATTGCAGGAACTAACTGTACACCTGCAACTTAGTCTCTTCCGAACTCTAAACAAGGTCTTAATTGTATTTAAATGAGCCTGACTGACTTGAGATTGTAAGATGTTCCACCTGCATCAAGCAATAATCTCTGCATTCCCATGTGGATATTACTGGACCTCGTAGCTGTTGAGAGCATCCAAAAAAATAAGACTCCAGGACTCTTAAAAATAGGGATGTCACACCACTTTCAATGTCAGGCTCCATCACTGTGTGCATTTCCAGTGGAAAGTGTTTTGTTTCCCTTTCTCTGTCTTCTTTCTATATAAAAAGCAGTCTTCATGGTCAATGTGAAAATATATTACTATACTAGAAAAAAAATGTTGGTCATAACTCATAATATATTTTGGGTAGTGGTGTTATAGAAGGGTTCAACTCATATGACATTTAATCTGAAAACTTGTTTGGGTCCTTATGAACTTAGTCATGACAGAAGAATCTCTATATTAGCGATAAATTGTGTGCAGATGTTACAGGAATTAAAATAAACATAGCTCTTAGAGTTAAGGCTCAAGATTGTAGATATTTAACTCTACTATTAACTGGATTTTCAGTTATATTCAGAAGCTTATGCCTTGCTCACAATAAACTATTTCCTATTTTATATCTATTCTAGCCCCATAGGATTTGTAGGCTATGGCAAAATTTTTTTTTGTCTACTGCTTTGATGAAACCTAATCATTCTCGTAAACTCAGATTTATCTATAGCTTGCGTGATACTAAGACTGTTTAAAACCATTTATAATTGTGGCCTTATGCCATGTGGTGTCCTGAACCATACCCAAACCTTTCAGGTTATTTTCAATTCAAAAAGAACCAAAAAATCTCTTTACAAGTTTCAGTTGTCATCTTATTGTTGTGTTAGAGTGAATTTAATGGTTTGCTTCTTAGCCAGGAATTAACCATAAGTTATTTCTATATCTTCAGGTCTCATCATAGTCCAATGCTGATGGATACTTCAGATTTTTAGTTCCATAGTTCCCACTGCCTGAGCCTTAACCCTAATCCAAAACTTATTCTTGTCATTACTGGTGACCCAGATGTCCTCATAATTTACTACCTGCTCTTTCCTTTGCCCTCGCCCTGCCACCAACGTTATAATGTATGGCATGGTGGATAGAGCAGAAAATGTTTCTCCAGTTTTTGCAGTTTCTATGCAAAAACTATCCAAAATACATCTTGTGAGGCTTAATGTCTCAAAATATGAAGGAGAGAGCAACATTAAAAAAAACTGACTCGTTTAAACACCTGTTAATATTGAATCTAGAAATTACGTGGCTTTGTTTGCTAACTGGATCCTCTACCCAAAGTCTAATTCTATCCTTAAAACTAACTTTGATTATAATCCAGAAACTCATATCCACCTCAGAATGAATCATAATTCATGTGTTGTTTTTATTCCCTCCTGCACCTGGCCTGCAAAGAGCCAACAGTAACTCTCTTAATTAATCTCTGTAATAAGCCCGATGGCTTGGTGAATACAACAAATCACCTTCAGTCACCTGCATAAAAAAACAGAAGCTTTTTCCTCATCTTCGGGCACTGCATGTTTTTCAGTTTTGCCCATTACCTCTTGTCCTGTGACTAGGCCCCACTGAAAAACCTGTCCCCATCCTCTTTGCATCCTCCTTGAGGATCCATCCCTTGAGATATTTGTATGTACTCATAAGATCCCCAATGCCAGGGGCAAAGAGGAGCCTATACTGACCCACAGGCTGTTCCTCCCCAGGGGCAGGACTCTGCACCTGCCTTTATTGAACCTTCATGAGGTTTCCGTGAGGACCTTCCCAAACTCCAGAACTCAATTACCTATATGACTAAATTGTTACCCTGGGATGACTGACTTGTTTAGCGCTTTCCCAGGTAGTTTACGGATGCAGTCGGGGAGTCTAGAACCACTTTGTAATTTGAATATGGCTCTCCTGTCTGGGTGGTGAGAGTTTACTAGTACGTAGACAACTAATCTATCCCCATGGACCTCAAAGTCAAAAAAAGGCTCTGACGCTATTCAGTCTGTTAGCATAAATGTATCCACTGTACCTGTTCTATAGCAACTTGCTGGAGAATAGTTTTATTCTGTTATAGATGCAGAGTAGCTAATGATATTTTTCTCTATATATTTACTGTGGAGCTGGTACTCTGGTTAATACTACATCATTAATCTGCAACAGTAATCTTAAGCAAAACATTCAAAGCAGAATGGTATGAAAAGATGAATAAAAATGAAAGAGTGTATTGCTCAGAGCAGCTAGTTAACCTGCATACACCATTCCTGTGCTTATTAGAATATTGAATATGTATGCTGGCTGCTGCACTAATAGATCTGCAACCAAAATTTCTGTATTTCTGTATTGACCACTGTGTTAGCAGAGGTGTGCTGTGTGTGTATTCAAATCTCGTTAATTAAGGATTTTCTACAGTGTAATTTGTTTTCATCCCAATATGCATACTCATAAATGTCAATGATCTCGGGATTCTATGCTCTGTGTAGCACTGTAGCACCATCTTGTGAGCTGCAAATGTGGTTTCAAGATAGGCCTTCCACGATCTTCAAGTGTGACCATCACAATTTTGTTTACAACAAATGTTTTAAATTTTGATATTATTACAGTGCTTATAAAAAAAGTCATGGTTTCTCATCCGTAGTATACTACATATAACATGATATAGTATAACATGTATCCACCCCAGTTTATGTGCAGCTGAACTGGGAAGCAGATGAAATACCTTCCCTTCGTACGGTATATGACAGATTACAAACAGGTACATTCCACCAAGGTAGCATAGGATGCTGCTATACAGAGACCATAAATATGTTTTTTTTACTTAGTCTGTGCTAGTAAAGCACAGAGATCGGAGTTTTGGTGAGAAATAAAATTAAAATGTAATATGAGAAAGAGTTACTAGGCAAAATTAAATATGAATTATTATGAAATAGGTGAGAGAGTAGTAGAGTCAGAAATGCTTTGAAATGCTGGGTAGGAAGTGGGGCAGGGACTCAAAAGTAGCATTCATAATCACAGCCATTTGAGTGCTTTGAGGTTTCTGCACATCTGGAAAGACATTTGATCCTCCAGAAGAGGAACAAAATGTGGGAAGGCAAATGCATGAAACAACCTTGTTCTCAGGGCAGGGCAAACAACAGGTAGAGATGTGTTTGTAGTGCCCCACCTGCAGTCCTACATGTTCATATCTCACATTTACTTTTGTTTCACCTTTTTGTACTTTCATTTGTATCTAGTTTCTCTTCATTTTTCTTCCTACTTCTGTTTTGCCAGTTTGAGTATCCTGAGCAGTTCATGTAAGAGCAATTACTGTATATCTCTTAAGTTCAGTCATGGAGGAGGTAATTGCTGCTTAATGGCCATCGCTAGGAATCCAGCTTACTAAGGTGTGATGTCAGTTCTGTCACTGCAATTAGAAGAAACTTTGACTATTCATTTCCCATATTAGCATGTTTTCTTTGTGTCATCAATCATCTTATTTTTCCATATTAACATGATTTGGGCACTTAGAAATACTTAGTATCTGTAATTCTGCATGTTCTTCTAGCTGCATTCAGATGACTGAAACACATATAATGAAGAAAAACATGAGAAATGATTTGCACTGTCTCTACCAGAACAATCTGAGGCATGCAGAGAAAACTGCTGATCTTTATTTTCAGAAGAATGCTACTAGATCAAACTTAACCAAAAATGTGGTGAAAGACATGATTTTTCTGTCTGCACTTTATTCACTGACATAAATTACTTTAGTACATTTGTCCCTGATCTTCACCATTGTATAAGAAAATATCCTTGTATTTAATAACTTAGGGTACATGAAGGTCAGTAATTTTTTTTTTTTTTTTAATTTCAGGTAATTCTTGGAACAGTCCAGTGGAAGTGACAGCACTTTATTCATTCGAAGGACAGCAACCAGGTGACTTGTCTTTCAAAGCTGGAGACAAAATCACAGTCACAACCAAAACAAATTCCCAGTTTGATTGGTGGGAAGGAACAATAGGAGGTCAAACTGGCATCTTTCCAGCCAATTATGTTGCCATAAGTAATGACTAAATTTGTATAGAATAAAATGTTGAAGCAATAATATACACAAAAATATATTTTAGCTTTTCATACACAGAAATATATTTTAGCTTTTCAGATTTATCAAAATGAGATTCCTGATCAAGACTATTCCACCACAAAACTGAAATACGTTAACAGACATTCACTTTACTCTAAATTTCTTTCTTAAATAAACATTAGATATGTGATAATTTATGATGAAGATTTATTTATGAATAGGTTGCCCAAAAATAATATTCCAATTTGTGTCTACTTTCAGCTCTCTCCTGGTATATTTATTTGGAGGAAAAAATATAAGCAATTTAAAATTAGACATATTGGGGAAATTTTGGGGGTTTTTTGAGGTTTTTTTTTGGTTAGGTTATAATGTATGTTCTCTTCTGTAATAAACTCAAATCGGCATCAAACTGTGTGAGAGTTGATTTTTTTTTTTATTTTTGCTAAATGTACCGGGTTGTTTTTTTCACATGTATGGTAAAAAAAATTACCTTCATACTTGCTTTAAAAATCACTTTAAGCATTTTACTTTTTCATAGTAAATACTTAGTAAATGCTAGGTCTTCAGTATTTTTTCTTGTCAAACATACAAAGATTTTTTAAAAAAACAAGTCTAGAAGTCTGTAGCAGTTAAGCAGTTCAGCTTCTTTAAGAGATTGTTTTCTACTGCCCTCATAATTGAAGAATTTAAGCACTTTTGAAAATTTGTTTAATCAAGGGCATGATCAATACCTGCCAGATAATATATAGGCTTGTGATGTGCCTTGGTTCCTGAAAGAATTTATTCTGCAGCCAGGAAACAAGCCTGATAAAACTGTTTCACAGATAAACAACTCTCCTACTCCTTCCTATATAAGGGTTTTTGGGGTTTTTTTTACTGTTTAGTCTTAAGGAAACAGTAACCTTAGCTTAAAAAAAAGAAAAAATACTGGTAGTGGGATAGAGAAAAACATTTCTGGAGAAAATACACTGAAGTAATAATGTGCAGCACTTGCATACCTTGTAATTTACAGGGTTCAACTTAATTGAGTATAAGTCGACTTCACTGCAGAGAGGCAGTCATGGACTCGAAAGCTGATGTGACACACTGCTTCAGCAGAGTTGAGACTTTGAGACCCAGTTCCGTTTCTTTTTCAAGTGTTGGATGCCCTATACATAATTAGTACCAAGATTATAATTATGCTCTTCAGTTTGGACTCGTCTCCACTTGAAAGTCTGTTTTGTTTAGTCATTGTTAAGTCCTTGTCCTAAAAGTGCATGAGTATCTCATAAAAAGATAGTATAGATGACCCTTCCAGCAGCCAAGTTGCAATTATACTATTTACAGTTGTAAACTGGGCAGACTTTTTCCTTTTATCACATGTTGTTTGGCTCTTAATTTACCCATCTGAATGACAAGACTTAAGTCTAGGATAGAGAAAAACTTAGCATTATTAGAAAGTCATTCATTTCCACTCAATAGCAAAACTTTCTGGAGATCTCTCAGACTGGACTGTGTGTTTTTGACAAACAAAACTAAAAATGAGACAGAGGAGTTTGAAAACACAGGCAAGTATGTTTACCAACTTTAAAAGAAAATCCTTCAGATTCTGTTTCATAGACAACATAGCAATTTGCAGTCTGTCTTTAGAAAGAACCCCCCCCCCAAAAGATGTAGGTTGCTTGCCTGTGTTTCCATCAGAAGATTTTGTAACCATTTGAAGGAAAAAAGTTCTATAAGCCTATATAGCTGCAGTGAAAGTATTAATATATATCTTTTGAATAACTTGTAACATCCATCACTTTGAGGTAAGAAAGCAAATTTTGTGTGTGCATATCTTCCATGGGCTATATCTGTTACTAAGCAAAGAAACACTGATTCATCCAATATCAAGGCTCAGTGAATAGGAATAGTAATATATTGTTAACATCACAGACCCAGAGGCTGGATATGCTACATATTCTTAAAGAATCACTCTCGTATTTATTATATCCTGTTGCTTCAGTTTAGTTATGCTGTACAAGCTTAAGAATCCACTAGCAGGTATGTGGTGTAGTACTTTGTTATTCATGTCCCAAATAGGGTTGACTTAGCTTGGGAAAAAAGAAGGTTGTCTAACCTCAGCGTTCATACCAGTCTGCAAACTCTACAGTATGGCAAAGACTAAAAAATCTGTGCTCCATACCTGGAAAATTCTTTTCTTCTCTAAACATGCCCTGGGAAAGAGAAGCAGTCAATTAGCCTAATGCAAAAGTGACATTGGTTGTCAAAAGCAAACCTTCTTGTGGCACTACAAAACTCCACTGCCCGTTTCTACGCATCTTTAATGCGTGTTGGCTCAACCCGTGTCAGTGAGCTCAAGTGAATTCTAGAAGTACTTTTAGTATGCTTTTTATGGTGGCTAATATCTCCAGTTCTTCAGCAGCAAAAAAACATGCTATCCCATTCTCAGTTTTCATAACAGGCAAAATACTCCAATTCACTTTGTGTGAACTTTCCACGGAAAAAAATACCTTAGACCTTTCATATTTATCTATCTGTTTCACTCCTTCTGAGAAAAGAGTGTGTCTTTGTACACACATATATCCTGGGCTTATTTTGTATCCATTTTTTAATAAGGACCAGCTCAGTCTAACTGAATGCTTTCACTAGTGATGTTCTGTTCCATTTTCCTTACTAAGGTGGGAATAGGATGACAGGTGGAAGTTCCTCAGGATTAAGTAATGGCATCTCAATAAAAAATGATAGTTTCTCTTTTAACTAAATAAATGCTGACAATAGCCCTGATTATGTTTTTACAAATCTTGATCCCAGATTTTTCCTAACTTGTCAAAATCTATGGTTTTAAATCAAAATCTTTGCATTTCTATCAAGTCTATACACAACTTGCACATATGTCATCATAAGAAGCAGAAACATAGTGATGCCCATGTAGCTTCTGCAAAAGGGTTTCATCTGACCTTTAGAGGAACTATCTGGTGTAAATGAAGTTAAACTGCAGCTGCTTATATTGATTTACTGATTTTCTGTGTGTATTTGGTTGCACGGAGCTTTTGGAAAGTACACTTTTCATCTGTATTGCCTAAATATAGACACAGCATCCTACCTATAGGCATCTGTTTAAAAAAAAAAATCTTGGCCATAACATTTAGAAATAAAATTTGCTGCTATTGAGAATCTAAATTTATCCAACATTTGAGTCTAAAAGTTCATGGGAAACCATTTGTGGGTTTTTAATTCGTTCTTGCTCTTAATTGAGTTAGAAATCCTGCAAAGAAAACCTCTTGGGCTTTTCCCATGCCATAGCTTAATATAAAAAAAAAAAAAAAAAAAAGCTAAATAAAATGAGATAATAAACTTCAAGTCTTTGCAAAAGGTTTTAGCTTATTTCATCCAAAATTAAGTGCAAATAATTACATAAATGTCAAGGATGTCACTAGTGCATGCTAATCCTAATGCTGGATTGATATTCAAATGTTCTTTTTTATCTGCCGTCTATGCAGATGGCATATATCTTTTGGCATCTTTACCTATGTATTTTTCTTTTAAAACTTTAGAAATAAAAACTCCTATTACTTCATAGACTTCACAGCAATTCTGTCACCTGTATCACTAAGATGAGAGTTTGAACCTGCTTATATAAAAACTTACAGGTATTGCTAATTTTAAATTTCTCTTCAGTGATTCTTCAACCAGTTTACGTTGCATTTAATCTTAAGGAAAAGGCAAATACTCCTAGCACAGTAATGCATCTTTCTAGTCTTCGTGTTGGGAATTTGTTCTGTCCTGTAGAACCTGTAGTGCATGTGAAAGGCATAGAAGGAATGATAGTGCTCAAGGAGCTATATGTAGCTATAAAGGAGCTATATGTAGCTGGCTGCCATATGGAAGATCTGTGTAAAGAACCTAGTATCCAGACTGCAGAACTGCTTCCAGACTGGTGAACTGCTTCCTTGTTGAGTCTGAGAAAGGCAGTAGTGGTAATGTGAGCCTGGAGGTCATTTCAAGTATATGAAGTTTTTCTATAAACTACTTAGTGCAATTAATTCCATTCCTAAAAGTAATGATCATAGCGAACGTATTATTACTGTCCTGTGCATGGTCTCTCAGTATCTGACTTGCTGAATGCCTGACAAAGTCCAGTTCTGTTAGATCTAAACCTTCTGGAGCCTCCATCTAAACATTTAAGTAATGCTAACGTCTGCACTAAGTAGTTAATTAGTTGGGAAAAAAAAGGGGAAAAAAAAAGGTGGTTAGATAAATAGCTCTGTCAGCCCACGATTCCTGTAGACAAAAGTTTTTGTTCTGTCAGATCAGATATATGGTCTTTTAACTGAGTTAGAATTCTGTTTCTGAACATACTATTTTCAAAATATTTGTATTGCCTTTTATACTTGCACAGTTCTATTTTCTGAATACAAGTAAGATCCTTCTCTCCAAGGTTTTTAAAACATTTTAGACTTTAATTGTTAAGCAGTTATGTGACTTATGCCTAACAAGAAATTTAGATAATGTTAATGATGGAATTGAGCAAATCATCTGGATGCAAAAATATTTTCACAAATTGACAGTTCTGTCTGTTTGGGAGATATTTTTGATTAATAAGGAAAGTTACTTCAGTGAGTGCTAGTCTATAAGATTTTATCCACTGCAGAAAATGAGGCCAAAAGGGTTCTTTTAAGCAGAAATTAAGTGTGTTAAAATATTTGGTTTAATTTAAGTTATATATGCTATGGTGGTCATTTTCTGTGATCTGCCCATTACCCTTTAAAACCAATTTCAGCCTAAGGTATTCCCTTTAGTTTGACTTCCCCATTTTAATTTGCTTCTGTCATATTTGATGTCAAAATTGAGGCCATGGCTAAGCCAGAAATTCAAAACATCAGTCTCTTCCTCTAACTGGTTTCTTGTCAGCCATCAGAGTCTTACAAATGTGAACACATTAGCTTAGCTCACAGCCTAAATTGTATTTGATGTGTTTTGGATCACTTCTTTCACCTATCTGATTTTGTTCTTTTGAGATGTAACCTCTGTAATTTCCTTGTGGCAATGCTGAAAATACTTGGTTTTTTCCCAGCTGTTCTTAAATCAGTGGGACTCTTTTAGCAGCTTTGAAGTAGACTGTAAACATAAATGATGCCACATCTGCTCAAAATCTATTTTACTCTGTTGATTTTACTAGAATCAGGCTGCTCGATTTACCGTGTAAGATGGAGATTAGCGATGTATTTATATGTTTCTGAGAACCATCAAATCAGCATTTTTTGCAAGGTCATTATAATCTCAAACTACAGTCTTAATTTAGCTTTCCAGTAGCTCACACTTATAGCAG